CAGGACAAAAGCAGCCACCAGTAAAAAAAGTAAAAACTGGTATAATATAGTTAGCTTGAAGATCTGGGTGTGTTCAGAGCCATGAAAACTCATGTGCTGTGGCTGCTAGTCTATGGCACAGTATTCTGTGCCAGTCAAAGAGAATGATCAAGCAGAGGCTGGTTAGCCAACATGTGTGTTATGAGTGCTTGCTGGCTTCATTGCCGAGGCCCAATCCACTATGTCAGCATGCTGAATTCGGGTTTTGGCTCGTACTGGCAACGCCTTGTGGGGATTAGTTCAGAACCACAAACGCTGCGCCTGAGCAAAGCTTTGTGGGGATGAATCTCATTAGTTCAAAACCACAAGTGCTGCCCTCAACTTTTCCTTTATAAACTCGTGATGCCAGAGAGAGAAGTTGAGGTATGCTTTGCTGATGAGGGCCAACAAGCCCGAAACAGCTGTCCAGAGCTCCCATCTTTTTTCTCTTGGCATCACATGGTCTATTGTTACATGTGTCTACTGCCATGATGACCTATACAAGGGAGCATGCAGCCATAACTTACATAAGACTATGATTAGCATCCCTATATGGTGAAGCTTGCATGCTTGTGTTGCCACATAATCAAGAGACCAGCCCGGTTGTGGTAGCATTCTGATGAAGTTAATGTATTTTCTGGTAGCCACAGGCCACTACAAGAGTGACCATCCCATATGTTGTGGTAGCATCCCATGAAGTGCATTAATTAACCCTCGGCGCGCATGCGCAGCGAGGGTTACAGTAGTCGTTCTGTCAGTGTCCGGCCGTCTGTCCGTCTGTCTGTCCGTCTGTCTGTCCGCGCGAGTTCTAGCACTACAGGCTACGAGGCGGCCAATGAGTGGTACCAACGGGTTGTGAACGACGAGAAGATTGATACTAATGTGGCGATTTTCCCGAAACGACTGCGTTCCTGAGATATGGCGTGAAAACAAGCGAAAAAGCCAACGTGCGGTCGATGGCGCACGCGTCCTCTCCGACATGCGCACGCGTCATGTCGCCGGAGCATGCGCTACGCCACATTGGTTTTATGATCCACAGGCTTCTCTTTGGATAAACATGCTGAGCAAGGTATATTCGCAATGTAGCATAATAGTTCAGGTGGCGAGCAGTTTGTGGATGCAGTCATGCCTTCCCATCTATAAAACATCGGGCGAGAGCATTGGAGCACAGAAGAGTGGATAGATTGAATAAAGCAAATATGAGAGCCTCTGAAACACCTGAGCAATTGCTCTAACCAACTACCCTGTGTTACGGGGAGACTCGTGTTACTGGCTCCGTCGTCAGCCAGCATACAGCGAGACTACAACTCGCGCGTTTAGCACCGAGGGTTTGCACTTTAGTGCTTTTCATTAGTCCCAGAAAAGCTCACCTTATAATGCCGTTTTATACAGCATTTGGTGTTGATTTCACGGCTCCTGGCTTTAAACTGTCGAGCTTCGTCTTCATTAGAGCTGTGTTTGTGGAGGGAGATGATAATGGAATGACATGCTGCCACACATTGATTGTTGTGGACGATAACGATTTTGAAGACACCATAGAAAATTTCGTAGTCTTTATTCGTCCGACTTTAATTTCGGCTGAGTACACACTCTTGGGAGACCCCAACTACACCAGAGTTCTCATCAATGATACTGGAGGTACACTATTATTGGTTGAGCAACTTACCAATAATAGGATTCTTATGTACAGACGCAAGTATTACAATCACGGAATTTTGAACCCACACTGTGCTATCATTATAAAACAGAGAGACTTGTTCTTGTTTCTACCAGATGCAGAGGTTAGATTTGTAACTGATGAGTACAGGATTGGAGAGGACAGTGAATCAGTCAGTGTCTGTGTGGAGTCTGGGGTGACGGGTGGTTTTGAAACAGCTCTCACAGTGGGCCTCGCTGCACAAGACGGCACAGCATGTAAGCTAATCTAAACATTTGCTATGCAGATCTGTATGTAATTTACCCCGTAGCCATCCTTGAGGATGTCTCTATTCCTGAACCATTTCAAGTGGTGTTCAGTGAAGGTCAAAACACATCCACTGGGTGTATAGATATCCTCATATTGAACAACACTGCGGATGAAGGACCATATCCATCAAACAGAACCTAGTGCCAGGATAACAAGTCCATCTGTCGTCACAATTACCATTCAGGGTAATGACCCAACAGCCAACACCAACCATTGAAAATGGCGAAGCAATAAGTCCCCTCGTACTTGGAGTGACAAGTTGTGTTGCGGCTATTCTAGTGTACATTTGCTACTCAAAAGGGTGTGTCGGCAGCAAAAGACACGAAGCGAGGACCCAGTCTATGCCACAGTTGGTTCTAAAGATGATGGAATAACTGTGACTAAACCACTCTCACTTCGACAACCACCAATTACCGATAACATGATCATCACTTCTCCAAATGAGTCTTACACATATCCACCAATCTTGGGGTACACCGGGAAATCATCTCTATCTCTCTGAATGAAAAGCACTAAAGTGCAAACCCTCGGCGAACTGCGCATGCGCGGTACCACTAATTGATGGGCTGGGCTTTTCTTTTCTTTACTCGTTGTATCGCGTTAGTAGCTCGCGGAGAGTCTGGCACGGGCTAGCTACAGTAGTAGATTGCATGCGGGAGTCGATACATGCCCTTCGTTGTGACTTCTTGTGCCTTCAAGATACACAGAGCGCGCGGACGAAGGCGAGGTAAGCCTGTGCTAATTACCATATTGGCTTGTTCACTTGGTTTTCACGCCATAACTTTAGAACGCAGTAGTTTTACGAAAATCGCCTTTTTTTAAATCAACCCAGTGTAGCACTGAACCCGATCATATCGCTATTTACCTGATTTCGTGCGCGCGGTGGCAGAAAACGTGGTAACAGACAGAATGAAAAGCACTGAAGTGCAAACCCTCGGCGCACTGTGACGCGCACGCGTAAGTAAACGCATGCGCCGTACCACTAATTGATGGGCTGGGTTTAGTTTTAGCTGTTACTCGTGGTCTCTTGCCAGCTCACGCAGAGTCTGACGCGGGCTAACTACACTACTAGATAGCATGCGAGAGGCAATACACGCCCTGCGTTGCATCTTCTGGTGCCTCCGAAGTACGCAGAGCACGCGGATCGATCCGACTGTGGTAAGCCATCCCGTCCGTTGTGTATTTGCATATTGGATTTTTCGCGCTCTAGCTTTGCAACGGAGCATTTCAGAGAAAACCGCCTTTATTTCTGACCTTCGTCGCCCGTTGGGTAGATGGTATCGTTTCTGGGACGAACAGACGTTCGAGGAGTGAGATATAGACTAACAGACAGACAAACAGACAGACCCAATGAAAAGCACTGAAGTGCAAACCCTCGGCGTATTGTGACGCGCACGCGTAAGTAAACGCATGCGCAGTACCACTAATTGATAGGCTGGGTTTAGTTTAGCTGTTACTCGTGGTCTCTTGCCAGCTAGCGCAGAGCCTGACGCTGGCTAACTACACTACTAGATGGGATGCAAGAGGCGATACACGCCCTGCGTTGCATCTTCTGGTGCCTCCGAGGTACGCAGAGCACGCGGAGCGATATACCGTAGTTAGCCGCACCGTCCGTTGTGTATTTGCATATTGGCTTTTTCACGCTCTAGCTCTGCAACGGAGCAGTTTCAGAGAAAATCCCACATATTTTCTGACCTTCATTGCCCGTTAAGAAGGTCGTATTCTTTGTGAGACGAACAGACACTCATGAAGTGAGATTGAGAGTAACAGACACACACACACACACACACACAAACATACCCAACTACAGTACCCTCGCTGCGCATGCGCGCCGAGGGTAATGAAAAGCACTAAAGTGCAAACCCTCGGCGAAATAGCTCGCAGAGAGTCTGACACGGGCTAGCTACAGTAGTAGATAGCACGCGAGAGTCGATACACGCCATTCGTTGTGACCTTCAAGATAGACAGAGCAGGCGGCAGAAACGGTGTGCTAAATATAAGCGCATGCGCATTATCCGCCAGCGATAAAATGGGCATTAGCCATACAATGCTGGAAGCGCTCTAGCTCTGCAACGGGGCATTTTCAGAGAAAACCCCACATATTTTCTGACCTTCGTCGCCCGTTGGGTAGATGGTATCGTTTCTGGGACGAACAGACATTCGAGAGGTGAGATTGAGAGTAACAGACACACACACACACACACACACAGACAAACCCAACTACAGTAACCCTCGCTGCGCATGCGCACCGAGGGTTAACTACAGTACCCTCGCTGCGCATGCGCGCCGAGGGTTAACTACAGTACCCTCGCTGCGCATGCGCGCCGAGGGTAATGATGCATATGCCGTTGCAACTTTCGCAGACGTCACTGAGAATAATGAGGCTTACGAAGTAGAGTACGAACATCCGACATAACTGACATCAAACCCTGACACTACTTACGAAACAACTACCGTAACCCTCGCTGCGTATGCGCGCCGAGGGTTAATGATGCATATGCCGTTGCAACTTTCGCAGACGTCACTGAGAATAATGAGGCTTACGAAGTAAGATACGAACTGGCATAACCTCAGGAAAATAACTCTTTAATCTATAGTTAACTGAAGGAAAGTGTTTTTTTACTTTCTGTAATTGGGATGACGTGTGTGTGATAACTTTTTCTTAGGATTTGTTGACGTACTAGCTAGTATTATTGTGGTCAATACTTTCACCCTTGCTGCCATAAACGAGCAAGCTTAAGTAGGTTCATGGACATGCTTTTAGTCAGGACCATTGACAGCACCTAAATGAATCCATGCACTTACAGGCTCCTTTGTCCCGCCATCAGATGGTGTACGAGACATGCGCTCCTGATGAAAACATTGTCATTCACACATTACCTCTAGGTAGCTACCATTATGGGTATAGTCTAGTCAAACAAGGTGGATGGCTACATTTTAGAGAGTATATAATGCCATCCCTATCTATGCCGCAGTACATATGGTCTCATAAACTGCAATAACATTCATTACAGCATTCTCTTCAAAAGTAGTTTATTATTAATATCAACAGTCGCAGACAGTTCAAAATTTGTGGGTCCCTTCTATACAGATGCTATAGCATAGGCCTGGTTTTGGAGTGTCACAATCTTTTCATCACACATCCTATTGCCACTGGGATCTGAACCAGGAATTTCAGTACCCGTGGCACGCAGAGTGACCTCATCATAGAGGTGCTGTGGCTGGTCTGTGGGTGTCTGTTTCTTTCTGTAGCAGGAGCGAGAGACTAGGACACGATGGAGCAATGCTCCAATGAGGCAGTTGATGATGCACAGTGCAGGGCACACTGAGATAGCAACTGCAACTACTGCTATAGGAGTAGATGGACACTCGGGCGTGCGGTAGATATTTGTAGAAGGTGAGGCTGCATTAAATTCACAGAGTAAATATAATCAATGACATGTCTTTATTACTGGAAAAAAAAAGATAGGGGAAAAGAGTTCTGTCCCAGTGCATTTATAGCCACAAGGCTTTCCCAAAGTTTTCTATCCTCATATACTCTCTGCATTTTTGTGAAGTTTGTCACAAGCTACTTTGCAACTTTTTATACACTTGCGCGTAGCTATTTAAGAAAGAGGAAAGAGTGATGCCCATCGCATCATGTTGCCCAGTTGAACTCGAGTGTTGTGTCTAAGGAATGGTTGTACAAAGCATTGTTAAGCGGATTTCACAAGTGGCTTTGAGCTATATAGAGACATGATTTGATATAGGGCTACAGCGTGGTTCGATAATTATAGGTTAGTACGTCTTTGCATAGCAAGGTTCGTTTTCATATGTGTCTCTGTGTTTGTATATTTCCTCCTTAGAAAACAATAATCACCAAACTGCAAACTTTCAATACCTGGTTCATAACTTCCTTCTACCACAACATCTTGTTTTCGACCTCCAGTGAGAGTAGCCACTGTCAGCACCACCTCAGGTGCAGTAGTGGTAGACAGAAAAACAGTAACATTAGCTGTTTCCCCAACACTGTCTGTGTAGATAACTGAGTTATTCAAGAAATTAACATGTGGACAGTGTGTATACATTGGTCACAGGAGTTTACCTCTAGAATTTACGAGAGACTGAGACAGAGTATTCACAGCAGATGTGAAGATTCTTTGTGCATCAATTTGTGTTAGATTATGTTCAAAACCTGAAAGAATGCAGTTGCATGTTATATATTATTTTGCAATCCTAAGCTCTGAAAAAATCTTGGCCAAATTGATACTAGGCTCTGAAATAATCTTCCCTTTCAGCTACTCCTTACTGATAGGTGTGTCTGTACAGGCCGTTCTGTCACTGTAGTATCCATCAGGCAGAAAATCACTTGCAGTGACGTATATGGAGTAGGTAGATGCTGACATCACAGTAAGGTTCTTAACACAATACTTGCATGAAGTGCTAGTACAGCTACTGTGGTCACTGGCCTCTACTGTTGCATTGATATCAGAAGACTCAACCCCAAGGGGAACAGTGCCGATTGTATAGCTCTCAACCGCTGCTGAAATGCCAACTGAAATATCTGCCGAATCCTGCAAAATTATCATACTGAGTTGGTGGAAATAATGTATTAAGACCTACCTCAATTGGGTTCCAATCTATTTCGATTCTTTTCAGGTTATTAGAGTAATAGTCATAGACAGGGATGGCTGTGCATCTTACCACTTTTGGAGGTCCTGAAAGATTTAATTGCTCATTAAACACTGCTAGTTGCTCGGAAACTAACCTGGTACATTAACCCTGAGTGCAGAGCTAGCAGGGCCTGCCACAGAATCGCCACAGCTCCTGGCAGTGACTGTGATGTAGTACTGCTGGCCATGGAGGAGTGTGAGGGTCAGTTGTCGTGACTGGAAGAGAGGATTGTCTGCAGCAATGACTCCACTGGCTGGCAGGGGATGGGAGGATCAACTGTCACCACGTAGCTACTGATGTGGGCATTGTTGGTGTCAGGAATGTTCCACACCACAGACACTGAGGAGAATGTCTTGTTGAGTCTCCTGATCCTGTCCAGGGCCGTCAGTGGTCGATCCGGGGCACTTGGTGGTCCTGTCATCAGGAGATTTAATTATGGTTGATACACCAATGTTTAATCCTTAAGGCTTTTAAAACCCACAAGATTAATTAGAAACGGCGTATAGCTAGCTACTTACTTTGAAAAGTGAAAACGTGTGTATCTAACAAAAGTGTACCTTCAACAATGACAGTAGTTCCAGCAATTGAACTTATATCAGAGCAGTTGATGGTAATCTCAGTTGTAAAGGTGAATGTCAATGTTGAAATAAGATGAGTATCATTTGGTTCCATGAGCTGGCCATAGTAGGAGCTCTGCATAAGAGTTATTTTGTCTTCCTCGGAAGAAGTTGAGTGCTCCGTCAGGAGTCTCCCAGGTTAGGGTAACTCCCATCAGTGTACACTGGAGTGTGACACTCATACCCACACGAGCGCATCGTTGCCCTCCAACTACATACCACAGATCAACAGTAGCCACTGGAAGTTAATTGTGATTCATTACAACTGATGTTGGGTATGCCAGAAATGTATACTTACACGTCGTTGCAAAAGTGGTGAATGTAAGTAGAGCGAAGAAAAACATCTTGTATGCCGCAGACATCGTGTGCCCTTTGCGTGCAACTTCGCGGGGCGCCGGATGCGCATGCGCATAAGGCGCTTGATCATGAACGAAGACGGGGCTTCCGCCCCCGCGAGCTAGTAAGCGGAAGCAGTGTAAAAGTAGCAGTCTATATAGCTACATGGCACACTCCTATAGCGTCCTGCAAAATGACAAGAATAGTTTTTTGCTGTGTTTTAACTATGATGTTGCAAGATCCACTGCGAAGTGCTGGACTGACATCTGTCGTCGTAATAATAATAATACAGGGCTGGGTTATCCATTTTTTACCCTCGGCGCGCATGCGCAGCAAGGGGTAGTTGGGTCTGTCTGTCTGTTACTCAACATCTCACTTCTTCGTCTTACAAACGATACGACTTACTTAACGGCCAATGAAGGTCAGAATTTTCGAGCGGTTTTATCTGAAGATGCTCAGTTGCAAAGCTAGAGCGCGAAAAAGCCAATATGCAAATACACAACCGACGGGAAGGCTTACCACGGTCAGATCGATCCGCGTGCTCTGTGTAGCTCGGAGGAACCAGAAGATGCAACGCAGGGCGTGTATCGCCTCTCCCATGCTATCTAGTAGCCCGCGTCAGACTCTGGCAAGAGACCACGAGTAACAGCTAAAACTAACAGCCCATCAATTAGTGGTACTCGCGCATCGCGTTTACTTACGCGTGCGCGTCAATGGTTGCACTTCTATTGGGCATCACACAATAATGCAATTTAAACCTTGGGCGCCATAGGTGTCTCCTTCAATAAGCAGAAATTGATGTATAACAATTAGCGCCTAGTATTTTAGCCATAATTATATAAATTCTTATGCCCTCTGTGCATATATATACAAGTGGAAAAATCATTTCTTCAAAATGAAAGTAGGATATAGGGATGACTTGAAGCACCCAAAAGCGAAAAGAAACAAGGGGTAATGAGTGTAAGAAGGAGTCAGGGCTGGTGACTTCCTTGCACGAACCTTAGTCATTACACACCAAATATGCACCAAGCCACATGACACCATCCCTATATCTTTGTCTCATATTAACTTGCGCCTTGCCCAATGAAACAAAGATATAGGGATGCATAATTCATGTTATCGCTTTTTACCAGTTGCTCCAATTGTAGGTGTTCACTTGCTGGAGTATTAGCTTCGTCGTGACCAGACTAGCCAGGATGCCTAGTCTGCAGAGGA